CAACTGCCCAGAACACCTGCCTTGTAAATACTTCTCATTGTCCTGCATTGTGAAGCCTGTGGTTGGACATAACCTTGTGAGTTGATTAAAGTATTATGGCTCCATGCAGAAAGTGATACAGGTCAACATTAAAGAAACAGTCTCATATCTGATGAAAACGTTCTAGAAAATGACCTGATAGAATGAGAAAAAGGTACTGTAAGACCAGCTTATGTGACAGGCTGTCCTTTCTGGAACCCTAAAAGATATGCTAGATAGAAGGGGTGGAGGAAGCCACTTGTCGCAAGGCACTATGATGATGTTCTAGAACTTCATAACTGAAAATGGATGAGTATTGAAGTGGGCTGAGCACCTTAATGCAAAGAGTCATCTGCTATGTTTGCAGCTATTTCAGTGTCGAAGCCATTGATCAAGCCATTTTATTATGAAAATAGCAGGGGTTTACATTCATCATTAAACAATGTGGTGGAAGAACACTTATCTTAATACATAGTGGTAGTATCCTTCTCCAGGAATATCCCAGACTATATTCCTTTCTATATGGTACAAGAAACAGCAAATATAGTGCAGAGTGTGGCTGTAGATCTACAAATAAAAAAACATATATAATGTGATACTGTATAGAAAAAAATAAATAGCGCATATACAGATTGCACTCACAAGATGTTGGTAGAATAAATAGCGGAAAGGTGCCTCCCCGGATAATTGTGTGAGGCTAATACAAGACGCATCTTCCTGAAGCGATATCGCTGCGAATGTGGAGAGCCAGACTCAGGTGTCATATGAAAAAAATTGCTATTTATTTATATAAAATGTATATAAAAACACTGAAATGAAAATAAAGCTAAAAAGCAAAAAAAGGCAAGGAAAGTTGCTAGGAGTTATCCTACATGTTTCGCCCCAAAGGACTTCCTCAGGGATTCTCCAAATGATTTTAGCAACAGAAGCAAACAAATGTAAATATGAATAAAATAGCAAGCAGAGTGACAGGTTCAAATAAAACAATCACAATGCAAACAAAGCAGTACTGGGGATCATAGTGCGTTTGTTTCTCTTTTCCTGAGGCACAATGCCTGAGGTCTGTAACATAGTTCCTAGTGTGAGATATGGTGATGTGAAAAATTGGCTGTAGGTCGATGCTGTCATACCAGGGGTGAAGTGGGAGTTTTGAGTCAGTGGGTAGAGTGGGGATGGGTGTGAAGCTAGAGATTTTAAGTGTCTGATCCCTTGCCAGCATTTCAGCATTGGTATAATAGTCGGATGTTTACAATGTTGTGGTTGCACGAATATCTTCCCAGATCTGTGCACGGGATCATGTATAGAGGCACCTGAAACATAGTCGCCTTGATATGTACCCATTGTTTCATCGTGTTTGGGTTGGACCATTCATGAATTCTCGTTAGGAAAACTGCTTTTTTGGTAGACTTCAATATTCAGCAGGCCTAAGCCTCCCAGAGCCTTGGGTCTTGGCACATACTTTTCTGTGCTTCTTTCGCTCACCCAGGTGACTACTTTGGGCCTCTAATGGTAAGGGTATGGGCTTACAGTTATAGCCTGTCTCGGTGCAGGCCATTGTCCCCTCTCTCCCCCCGCACATCATCCCACGATGGTCATCAAACCCAAGCCCCACTTGTTAAAACCGCTAAATGAATCTTTATCATCCTATTAGTGGGGTTTTTTCTGGGGGCTGAATTTGGGATTAGGTAAGACATAATGGGGGTTGAGACATTGGTATGGTGGGAAATTAGGATGTCTAGGATGGGTGATATTGTAAATTTAGGAAAGGATGGTCAGCTACCAGGTTAAAGCGGTTCTCCCATGAACGGTATTAAACACTCACACTTCAAGTCCACCGGGGCTTTGCCACCTGATGGTTTAAAGATAGTTGTAGATGCGTGGAGCGTAAAGGAGTGGTGCATATGGAAATTTCTTTCTACCAACTGTTCCTACCAGTGTCCGCAGCAAGTGGGATAGTGTTGGCTTCTACAGGTGTGGATGATGGCACATGTCTTGGTCCCATTCCTTTGCAGTAGTAGATTAATCGTAGATGGTGACTGTATAGCGACTTGAATGTGCAGCATAGTTCATCCATATGTGAATATTGGGTGTTATTATTATTATTTTTTTGCTTTTGTGATCCGCCCTGCCAAAGTTATAGTTATGGTGTCGGTTAAGTGAGACACTTAGGAGAAGTCAATTGCCCAAGTCAAATAGATATTAGGGTGTCCCTCTGGCATATGTGATCAGATGTCTGGATGTGGATTGTGGTGCTTGTCTGTCCAACATTTCAATATAGCGCCTCTTGGGCCCCATCTGCCAATGTTGGCGTTGTGAATGGTTGGAGGCTGTATTAGGTTAGACAGGTGCATACCAATCTTCAACCTGAACATAAGGTAAGTCCAGAGCTCTGAGGAAGGGTGGTACATCATGTATAGTGGAAATCGGAAATATATTGCCCTCGTCTTGCTACTGTAAGTGTCAGGGGAAATCCCCATCGGTACCTGATGTTCCGGGCTCTGAGCAGGTCGGTGATCGGCCTCAGGAGCCTCCGTGCCTGTAGAGTCAGCCATGATAGATCTGGATTGGACTTCATGGAATAGTAGCAGTTGGGATGTATTCCTCAGGGTACGGAGCAGATACTTGCAGGAATAATAGTGCAGGGTGCACATAACATCCCCCAGTGTATCCGTCTTAGTCCCTCTGAGTCGGAGGGAATGATGTGCTTAGTCTATGATCACTGAGTTACTCGCTGGCTTGGCAAGGATGAGGTTGAAAAGCTCTTGGAGCAGCCAATGGAGCTCTTTCTGATCTTGTTCAAGTAGGCCTTTGATCCGCAAATTGTTGCAGCGCCCCCGATTGTCGAGACCATCTAGTGATCTTTGGTAGGCAGCCTTAGCTGAGGTATTGGCTTTGACTGTTGATTGCAGGTGTTGAATTTGTGAGAAAAGCAGGCGTATGTAAGTTCCCAGGGCCACTAGTTTCTTCTGAAAAGATCTTTCAAGTTTGTGTAGCATACTCTCCATGTCGGAGGAGGTTTCGTCAGGAGGTTTGCCAATATTTCCCGGAGGCATGGATCAAGTTGTGAGTGATAGGTGTCTGATCCCGCCCGGCTTGATGGTGGAGGGCTGTCGCCCTGTGAAGTGAGTGCCATCTTGGGATCATCCTGGTCAACAGTCCTAGCCACCATGTCTCTGAAAAACCTTGTTTGGGAGCCGGATTTTGTGGTCAGCGTTTTCCCTGAGCCTTGGTGGGAGGATTGTTTTTTTTTGTGGTTACACATGATAGTGGATGTGCCCGGATTGTGTTGGATTCAGCCATAGGAGTTGAGGAGCTTAGCAAGGTACGTCCATTCAGATCAGCAGTTAGCCACACCCCCCCCCCCCCTTTTGCATGCTTTTTATGACAAGTCATGGAGTGATGCTTTTTTAGCAATTTCTTAAGAATGCCATGAAAAGTGCACAGAATAAATCACTGTCTACAGTTTGATGGATATTCTGTGTCATGGAAAAACTGGAGAGAGGGCAGTTTATTGGATTTGTGGGCAATGGGGGGTGGAACAGTGTATTAAATTGGGTCTGCAGGGAGGAGCTGAACGCTCCTCATGGAGCTGCAGATTGGCTGTGCAGCTTTTTGCCACTCATGCACAATAGCCTCACAATGCTTTCCTATGGGAAAGCATTGGATTGGCTGAGATCATCAAGTTTGATGATCTCCGCCAAAGTGAAGAAAACACTCATAGGACATCTAAGTATATCCGCTGTAGTTCTCCCAAATCCCCAATGAAGCAGTAATTATAGCTCCCAATTCCCCAAACATCAGCCTAGACTTAATGAAGGGTAGAAACGAATGTGTTTAATCTGGCCAACTTTTATACAAAACAAGGATGCAGTAAAATGCGCCCAGAACACTCCCACAAAATGTCCACAAATTATTGTGTCAGAGTGACACAGCATAAAATATCAAAATACATAAAATATACATACAAAACATATAGAAACCCCCACAAATTATCTATAGTTAAATAGCCCTGATCTGAGTGCCCAAGTTCTCCAAATAGCACTCGGATCCATGCAGTGTAGGGGAAATGCCACTGTGTGGAAGTTCTGACCAGCCTCACACATGGTCCTATGCCCAAAACAGTTCCAGGGCATTTGGTGCTTTGGCCGGTCAACTTTTGGGAGCTCCTGTGGCCGCAATACGGGTTGTTCCGCCTGGGTGTCAGTTAGCGTTTGTTCTCCTTAGTCTCAGACACCTTCCTTCCAAAAAGTATTCTCCTGGCGAATTTCAAAATTGTTCAAAACCCCAGACAAAGTTGTCCAGGAGCTGCACGGTCACCTCATGCTGAAAACAGTTCCATAACATTCAAGGCCCGCTGAGGACAATTTGTGGGTTTCTTTATGTGAACGACAGCCAGGGAGCTGTCATTTTCCTTCATTTCAATGAAGGGAAAGTGCTGAAGCAGGGGTACCCAGGGAAAGCTGCTAAAGGAGGCTGTGACGGACCGCTGGCATTCCGACTGAGTACCTCCACCAATCGATGCGCCTAGCGCTTGCCAAGGACTCCGAACATGCCAACCGACACCATCAGCACTGCGGACCCCACTTCCAGTGATGCAGCTGCGCCGGGGTCTCGCCGTCTCTCACCCACCTTGGATCCACGACCAGGATCCAGCTCCCAGTGGGTGAACCTCTCTTAAATACAGAGAGCGTAGCAGGAACAAATCAAGCTCTTACAAGAGCTTACTCTGGGGAGTAAGTGATTATAGCAATCCCCAGAGTGTAGGTATCCCTTCCCCCAAGCATGAGCCAAAGCTTCAAGAAAAGTGCAAGTAAGTCTGGTTTATTGAGGGCTACCTGCCCGGTATTTAAGCAAGTGGACACTCCCCTAGTAATCAAATTATCTCCCAGGACAGAGGCAAGACTCCATTAACCACATGATTACAAAAAGACATAAAATTACACAATGTTACAATTACTACATAAAACATATACATGCAACATATCCCCAGATAGCTTAGATCTGAGCGCACATTATTACCGAATGGTGCTCAGATCACCTACATACAGTTCAATCACCATGGAGCCAAAGTCTTTTCCATAGTCTTTTGTTACATGAATAGGCTCCATGGCATAGCTATCTGGGGTAGCACTACTCACATACTGAAAGTCCCGAACGCCCCGGCAGAAATACACAAATAAACCTCTCTGCAGGAGAAAATACAGCACAGGGGCCATAGTCGAAAGGCAGGAGGCTAGCCAGTAGTCCCCTCCAGGCACAAATGGTGAAGGGCGCTTCGTCACAGAGGCTGGGGACATTTAACTCCTGAACAGTATCTTTGTATGCAGCCCAAAGTCCTTTGGCAGGAGGCTAGCTAGCAGGCTCCTCCAGGAGTTTGTGACAAACGTCCAGGGTAAGGAGGGCTTGTCACAACCTCAAAATCAACAAGATGACGTCATTTTTTTTTTACAGCTGTGCAAAAGCATACATTCACCATTTCTGTCCCATTACCAAACTTTTCTTAATATGTCAAGGTAGTTGGACTGAAACATTGGTTGTATGCAAATACATGTCTCCTTAACCCCTTAAGGACACATGCCATGTGTGACATGTCATGGTTCCCTTTTATTCCAGAAGTTTGGTCCTTAAGGGATTAAAATACATTTGCTCATTTGTTTACGTTGAAGCCCTACGAGTGTGAGGACATCCAGTGTCAGTTAGGCAACTTTTTTTATACTGTGCTTTTCTAAATAAACCTACGTTTCTTTGAAAACTGAAGTTTTTGTTTTTTTCCGGACCACATAAACTTAAACCTTGTTTATGTGACCCGTGTTAGCCTTTAAGTTTGACATGCTTGACTTAAAGTTTTTAAACAAAATTAAAATGTTTGTTTAAACAACTTCATGTAAGCATTTAAATTATTCCAATAACTTCGTAACAGCAGTAAAATTTGACTCAACTCTAATTATGCCCACAGTCACTGAATACAAACAGCTTGGAGATGTCAAGTAGCTGTGAACTTCTTGGTTTTCTTTACTTATCTAAAAGAATGGAGTTAAAAACTTATATCTATGTGTGTGTGTAAAGGAGCTCATTATCTCAGTACAGCAGATTCTTCGAGAAACTAAGTCACTGAGTCGAGGCACAGTTTGCTGAAGTATTAAAATGGAAGATGTCCCAAACCTGTGAGATGAGACATGCACTAAAAGAACTGATAATCCTGACCCTCAATGTGTTGTAAAAAAAAGGTTACAGGTGTCAAAAACCTTTTTTTTCCCCTTTTCTTTTTTTATACTTCTTAGCATACTGTAATGAAAATTGAAAACAATCTCATCTGCATTTAATTACAGTCAAACAAATTAAGACTGGAATGTGAAGTTTTGACAACCGAGTATGAAAGTCAACAAGTTCTTATTGCTCACATTATTGTACATTTGTCAGAAACAGAAAATTAAAAGCAATTGTCTTTCCTTTTTCTCTGTCTAGACTTCAGAATTCATGCTGAGAATTCTTTTATTTTCTGTTCATGGGGAGAATTGATGACCACAATAAAGCTGTATTGAGGGCACTGACTAGGTAATAACACGTTTGAGGTTGGAAAATGAATCTGTAACTAGAGAAATATGAGTAATACCTTTAGCAGCAAAGTTTATCAGAACCCAGGGTTGGAGGCCGTGGAGAATTTGTCACTTGAGAGAGGCTGTGATTTTTTTTTTTGCAAGGAAGCAATACATTCTCCTGCTTGCAAAACTACAACAAAAAATCATTACAAAAAGAAACAAAATGATTTGTTTGTTTGTTTTTTGTACATTTGTTTTATTCTTATTTCAGACACTTTGGCTGTGAAATGAGTTTTTGACATTGTAAATGATGGTTACTGTTGCAGAGATGTACTATCTGGCCTGCTGTTGTCAGGCATAAGCCATTCAGGCTGATAAAATTTCAAAAACTTCACAATACAGAAACTGACTGCCCTACCATGCATTGTTCCTCTAAGATGCAGGAGAATTTATTTTCCTTGCTACTTCTTGTGGTACCACTCAGAGAATCTATGAGACTTATTTTATTTATTCGATATTTATTTCTACATACTATTTATAGTACTCTACCATGTTCTACAGATGTTCCTGACATGAGAATGTAACAGGACCAAGTGACTGGAACTAGTTTCTCATACCTTGTACAGTTAAACGATACTTTTATAATATTCAACAGACAAAAGGTGTCTGTAATCTCATCTAGCCACAGATCCTTGCAACTAATCGAACAATGGTGATTTATTAGCTCTAAATACAATGCATATTTAATAAACTTGTGGATTGCTTTTTGGCCATATTACAGTTCATCAGAACGTAGGCCAGTGGATTGGTCAACTGAATTCCAAATTTCTAGAATTCCATATGAATGAACAAACAACTCGAGCAATGAACAACCATGTTTATTTGCTTTGTAGTTGTAGTTTTCTTCCTATTCTTCCTATCATCAAAAAAGGGTGATGGAACGAAGAAGAAGCTTGTTTTTTGTTTTTTTGTTTTTAAAGGGGGGCAAATAAGCAGCTTAGTTGCCATAATTAAGAAGACATCTGCCCAGTGATGTTGGCTGTGGCAAAAAAGATGAATGGTTAGAGGACAGAAGGATGAATGGAGAAGGCACTCAAAGTTTGTGTTAGTGCCACTGTGGCAGTAGCTAGACAGAGGAACTATTTTTTTTTTTTTGCTTCTTACTGAACAAAACACTTCCACACAGGCACAGGAAGGGTAAAACACACAATATCACTGCCAGCCTTTATCCCTCAACAGCTTCAGTCAAAGTATCTCGACTATTCTTGCCTAGAAGTATCGATTGTTTTACTGCTTCTCCTTTTCTTTATATCAGGTCAGTTGTCACTTGATCTGTGAATGAAATCAACATTTACTTACTACCCCATAATCACCAATCATATTTTGCTACAACATCTTGATTGAATACAGCCTGCATGGTTGGGAAGACCTCTTGACCATCATGTCAAACTAAGATGTAGATTTACCCCCATCTAGAAAAATAAAAAAACAGCCTCTTCTCCATTCCATTCTCCTTTGTGTTTCTGGTGCCAGGGATGGCACTCCAAGTCATTAAGAAAAAGTGCATGATCAAGACCTTTGTTACGGAGTTCTATAATGTGGCGTTTTGTAAATAAGAAATTTAGCTAAATGCCCTGAATTCAAACAAATTGCAGTTCAGAATAAAACAATTCTCCATGTCTAACAATAACTTTGGCTGCTGCTTCCACTGGCATTGCAGGACCTTCTAGCACAGCTAGTTCAAGTGTTAAAGCTTCTGTGATGCATGGTAATTAAATCAAAGGATGGTTTACTTCAGTGGACTTGTGGCTAATGTTACCTCATAATTTTTGTAGCTCTACCCTCCCCCCGTGAAGCAACTAAGGGAGAGCCTAGAAGAGACTTTGTCAATGCTATCAAATACAACTTTAACTGAAGAGGTAGAGCAAAGTACACAAGTAGTGTCTCTTGGTGGTTTAGGTAATTGTGGTTATAACTAGTGATGTCGCGAACATGAAATTTTCGGTTCGCAAACCGCAAACGCGAACTTCCGCAAATGTTCGCGAACCGGGCGAACCGCCATAGACTTCAATAGGCAGGCGAATTTTAAAACCCACAGGGACTCTTTCTGGTTGAGGGGGGGGGGGGAGACCTACTCTCCTCCCCCCCAGGCCCCCACTCCTGGGCGGCGGGTGGGGGCCATAAAGATATATACCCTGAGCGGTGGGTGGGGGGCCTAATAACAATAAGGGGGGGACCTATTGTCTCCCCCCGGCCCACACCCCTGAGCGGTGGGTGGGGGCCCTAATAACAATAAGGGGGGGACCTATTGTCCCCCACGGCCCCCACCCCTGAGCAGTGGGTGAGGGCCCTAAAATGAACAATAAGGGGGGACCTCTTGTCCCCCCCGGCCCCCACCCCTGAGCGGTGGGTGGGGGCCCTAAAATGAAGAATAAGGGGGGGACCTATTGTCCCCCCCACCCCCACCCCTGCGCGGCGGGTGGGGGCCATATTGATAATGAGGGGGGGTACCTACTGCCCCCCCTGCCCCCACCCCTGCGCGGTGGGTGGGGGCCATATTGGTAATGAGGGGGGACCTACTGCCCCCCCGGCCCCACCCCTGCACGGCGGGTGGGGGCCATATTGATAATGAGGGGGGGTACCTACTGCCCCCCTGGCTCCCACCCCTGCGCGGCAGGTGGGGGCCATATAGGTAATGAGGGGGGACCTACTGCCCCCACGGCCCCCACCCCTGCGCAGCGGGTGGGGGCCATATTGATAATATTGATAATGAGGGGGGGACCTACTGGGCTCCGGGTGGGGGCCCTAAGTAAATTTCCCCCCCCCCAAGGTGACTAGGGGTCCCCAAGCCCCTAGTCACCCACCCCCCCCAAATAAAAAGTCCCTACCTACCCCCCTCACCCTAAAAAATAGTGAGGGGGGAATAAAATAACTAACCTGTAAAATAAAAGTAAACTTACCATTCGACGTCTTCTTTTTTCTCAAATCTTCATTTCTCAGCCCCAAAAAAGGCCAAATAAAAAACCATCATAACCGTCGAACTAAAAAAAAAAAATCCCCCACCAAAAAAACCAGACGAAAAAAAAAAAACCTGAGCGCAAAAAATCCATCTTCACTTGTGGATGGCTCCGCGCAGACTGAGCTCCGCAAGGCGGGGGAAGGCTTAAAAAGCCTTCCCCCGCCCTGCAATTAGGCTAAGAACACTCTGATTGGTGGGTTTAAGCCAATCAAAGCCGGGAGTGGCAGTAGGTCCCCCCCCTCATTATCAATATGGCCCCCACCCGCTGCGCAGGGTGGGGGCCATATGGGGGCGACAATAGGTCCCCCCCTTATTGTTCATTTTAGGGCCCCCACCCACCACTCAGGGGTGGGGGCCGGGGGGACGACAATAGGTCCCCCCCTTATTGTTCATTTTAGGGTCCCCACCCACTGCTCAGGGGTGGGGGCTGGGGGGGGACAATAGGTCCCCCCCTATTAGTATTTAGGGCCCCCACCGGGGGTCACAGGCTGCTCACTGTTTAATAGACATGCCCCTACTCGCGGTATTGCGAGTAGGGGCACAATTTACTAATACTAAGTAATTTTTACTTAGTATTAGTAAATTAATAGGGGGCACCCGAACATCGCATATGTTCGCCATCCGTGGCGAA